ATGCCTATTGATTATTTCCCTGCTATTGCCCTTTATCCGACGTGTTAGAATGCACAGCACTGTCACCTTTAACCTTCAGCGCCTAATTGATTTCTCATCCTCCATGCTACTTCTGTGCATTTTATATCCTCGTGTTTCACACACAATTAGAGTGGCATGTCACCTCTGACAACACACATTTATACTCAGGAAGGGCTTTCACCTTTAGCTCACCTTAAATTTCCCACTAATCCATCAAGAAGAAGGTGATAAGAATGTGCACCACGCCAGGATGACTAAATCACTCGCTGGTTTGCACTTTTTTGTTTCTTTTTCCATTTACTTTTTCCACCAAGATACAATTCAAAAGATTCAATCTGCATCATTGCAGCTGTCTTAGATCAATTTACCAATCGAAACCCTGCTTGCCTGCTGGCTTTTATAGAGGACACTTTTGTAGAGCGTAGGCTGCATCACAGCTTGGAGGCGACAAGAAAGCTGAAGCACAACAAGAGCAAATAAGGAGCTTGGCCACAAGGGTCACAAGGTTGCTGTCCAGAGGTCGTATAGAAGCCATATCCACAACCCTGCAGGTCAGATCTGAAACACATCCTTGTCACTATAATTTAGGCAACTAGTCTGGACTGGAAATCTAATGACTCCAATTCCCTGTTTACCTTGCAGAGCTGGTTTTTTCACCTGGGCTGATGCAAGAACTGAAATACTTGTATGTGCCAAAAAATGTGAATATTGAGGGGAAGTCCATTTCAATAATTTGTTTCAAACAGTAAAACGTGTATCTTATAATAATTCAGGCTTTAGGTTATGCATCAGTGGGAAATACACGTGTTATCCTTCTAAAGATGAATATTTGATTGTGACTATACTCAGGAACCTGCCTCAGTCAGAAAACCCATACAAAAACAGTTTTGAAGGAATTAAGTGTATAAAAATGACTTGACGTTGTAAAAGCGTGAAAAACATGCCACAAGACCCAGCGCCACGGGCTGTGGTAAATAATTACCAGTTAAAATGTCATTACAGAAACAGCATGGAGCTTTGCAGAGGGGCAGAATGGAGGTGTCTTACACGTGCAAATGCAATGTGTCTTAAGGAAAATATTTATTATTAATATTTAGTGCCTAATACAACAACCACATCTTTTAAGATGCAATCAAAGGCACAAGAACAGAGCCAAACAAATTACTCTGAAGGGGTTATAAACTGCGAAACTAAAAAGCACTTAATCTTTTCAAACAAGCTGCTGGCACCTTTTAAAAATTTTCAAAACTCAAAATGCTTTTTACACATTGCAGGAACCATGTTGTTGTTTTTTTTTAATAATGACAATCACATTCTAGTTCAAACATGTATGCTCTCCAAAGTTTCATCTCTTTATGATTTCTACATGAGCTGAATAAGATTATTCTAAACTATTGTAGTGCATAGAACAATTAATTCAGGAAAACAGTGTTCTTCCAAAAACTGGCTTGCTCTTTGTTACCCAGATTCAGTTCTGTGGGTAAATATCTGCTTCTCACCAATGTTTGAGCAAAATCAGTGTCCAATTGTTTCTTTTTGTTCAATAAAATAAAGAGAAAAAACAGTGTTCTTCCAAACACTGGCTTGCTCTTTGTTACCCAGAATTAGTCCTGTGGGTAGTCAATTTCCGATCAAAACCAGTGTCCAACTGTTTTGTTTTTTGTTCAACTTTAACTTAAAAAGTTGAGAAAAATAGTGTTCTTCCAAACACTGGCTTGCTCCTTGTTGGATACTCAGAATCAGAATTTTAGGCAGAACAATTTTTCTGTAGCTGTATGTGGAACAGAGCATCTTCTATATTCTTATCTTAACCTTGAATCTTAATCTTAAACTTATTTCAGCTCCTGTTTAGCTAGCTTTAGCTTTACCTTTGTTTGATAGCATTAACGAGAGTGAAGGCAGAGCTGTGTATATTGCATGTCACTACAGGAGGAGGTTCACTGGCCACATTTGACATGCGTCAGGTCCCTTGTGTTGACAACTCTAATAATAGCGTTGATTGCAGTAACTTTCACAGCAGCTTTTTAAATTTATTTTATTATAAAGTAGTTTGCAATTATCTTGTTTTTGATGCGTTACTTTCTTTTTTTTAAGTTAAGATATCAAAACTATTCTAACTATTGCCGGTTAAAGATAGAAAAGCCATCTGTTAAGTTCTCTGTAAGGTTCTCAGTCATCCTGGAAATCTCACAGATGGTTTATTTGATGGAATAGCAGCAGACAGCTCTGTGAAGGTGCCAGGCTGGCTGCCTATGGTGAGACGGGTCAACAGGTCACATATAGAAAAAACAAAGAGCTGTAGCTAAAATTGATGCATAGTACTTCATTTCCTCCAGAGAGGGTCTGCAACACGCACAAGGATCCCTGCACCTTCACCATCCCTCAGGGAGAGTCAGCAGTTACAGAGGACAGCCGAAATAACCCAGTCTTCAAGCATCCCATCAATACCCAAGAGAAACCCGTAATGACAGGCAGTTGTCGGCATCAAACGGTGATGCTAACAGAAAATGCGGAGAAGTCATGCTTCAGTGCTCAGCGCCGCAATTAAAACCCCTACATGCAATTAATACAGTCTTTAGAGTGTAACCGATGAAACGCTTTACAGCATTCTGGGTTATCTACACCGGTGCAGGGCATATGTTTACCATGCCTAGCTGAGCAGCAGTTCCTGTCCATTTCATAAGCTCTATATTTACTACATAATCAGCACAAGGATGTAATCTGCATAAACGTGGATTCTCTGAAAGCTTGTGCTGTTTAGAATACTCTCTCTGGAGGATACAGTAATGTTTCTGGGCTAAGATCAGTCCTGTCAGGGTTTGGAGGAGGCCATACTTTTTTAGGACAGCTTAAAAGGAGCTCTGCAGGAAGGGAGAGTTAATCTGCTATGAATTGCCAGCTACATGGGTTTATTTCATATGCATTGTCTCTGTTCTTAGACATGCTAATGAAGAGGGCAGCTGAGGAAACATGCTGGGGATTATTTCACTATACGAATGATGAAACAAATCCCTAATCTTTAAAAAGACTTCTTCTGGTATGTCTTTGACTCAAAAATCAGACTAAACTAAACCAGTGTGTCTTCAACGTGGCTAAGTTTGATGTATGATCTTTAAAAACCCAGACACAGACTGAGAAATCCAGGATTAAAGCAAACGTTTTGAACATTTTTGGCTTGTTCTCTGTTCACATTGGCAGGTACTCAACATTCTTTTTCTCCTCTGACCAGTGAGATCAAGGTTTTATTCAGAATTTTCATATATGTAGGGCTTGAGCACTGGAGGTGTGTAGAACCCTATTGTAATTGCTCAGAGCATTATTGTTTCACAGCTTTCGGTGCATTTTTGACTGCCTTTGACTCACCAAATTTCAGTGGTGGACAGTAACGAAGTACAAGTAATTTGTTACCGTACTTAAGTAACTTTTCAGCATATCTGTACTTTACTTGAGTATCACTGTTTTGTGAGACTTTATATTTTGACTCAACAACATTTCAAAGTGGAAAACCTTACTTTTTACTCCACTACTTTCCTAAAACCTGTCGTTTCTTTTTACATTCCACAAAGTACTTTTCGCGTCTTTTCGCAGTCACATTTATAGCGCAATAATGTAATAATGAAAGAAGCTCCAGATGTTGAAATTGAGTGCCCATGGCCATATTTAAACAAATTTATTGAAGTAGAGAAAAGGAAAAACAAGTCTTTTATTTCTACATACGTTGTAAGTCTTCAGGGAAATCTGGTGGTGTGTTAGTTTCTGTTTTTGTGTGATTTATGCAAACACTAATATTTGTTTATTGAGTGGAAATACAGCTGCGTTGTAAGGAGTCAGGTTTAGTAAATTGAAAGAAAAAGACATCCTTTGTAAACCTTCGGAAACTTCAGTAAATCCTTTGAACAGTTCGTTGCTGGTGGTGCAATGAAACAGGAAGTTGATATAACTCAGGCGTACAACGTCCAACCACGATGAAATTTGCCACTTGTGTTAAGGCTCCATATCTAAAATCATAGCAATATTGAGCGCATAAATTATACTTTTTATTTTTTAATATCCCATTCAGTAAATTATTAAAATGACCACGTGAAAATGTCTTCAAAATAACGATCGGTCGTTGTGCATAGTGCAGCAACTGGGCACCAAGAGGCGATCACAGCGAAGGTTCTGGAACCATTGGATCGCTGCTTGCAGCTCTAATTTCTTTTTGTTGTTTCATGGATTAATTAACGCAGGAGAGAATGAGCTGAGTGGTGGTTGAGACTTTTAAACTTTGAAAATGTGAATAAGGGAGGAACCGGAGAATTACCGTATTTTTTGCCGTATAAGACACTTTTTCTTCCCCAATACTGAGGGGGAAAAGTTGGTGCGTCTTATACGGCGAATGCAGAGCGCCGCGGAGTGGAGGGTGGTCATGGTCGTAGGAGAGGAGTAAGAGAGGCCACGGCTTCGGCCTTATAGCTTCTAAATAGATAATAAACACTGGAGACCGTTTGAGAGAGAACACAGCAAATGCGGCTATTTATTGTAAAGATTTAGCAGTCTCAACGCATTTCCTACACAAGTGTTATCCGCATTGGAAGAAGAACCTCGAAACTCTCAAAGTAAGACAAGCGCCGGAAGAATGGTGGGACTGAAGTATGATGTGTGCTCTTAAAAGTTTCTCAAATTAAATTTCTCTAAATGACCACTAGATGGTAGTATTATACGTCATCGCCCATTTCTGCTCGTTGATCCTACCTTAGCGCGGATTGTAAGGAGCAGGTATGAAACATTACAGCCTTTTTTTGTTACTTTTACTGTTTACTGACTGTTTATGTTTGGCATATAATTGTTCTTAAACTGCTGTTAACTTTTACACAGTTGATATAAAATATTTTACTACAGTCTTTGGTCCAGAATCTTTTTTTTCTAGATCTTCCTCATGTAAAATTGGGTGCGTCTTATATGGCGAAAAATACGGTCTATGTTGCAGTATATGCTGAGCTTTCCTGCGGCTCAGTTGGTAGGGCATTGCGCTAATAGCCCAAAGGTTCTAGGTTCAAATCCCAGGGAAAGCAGGAACTAAAAAAAAGATCTGTTCATTCATTTAAATGTAAGTCGTGAAAAGCAAAAACGCATAAATGTAAATGTAGTATGTCATTTATATTATTGGGATATTTAGGAAAACTGTTGAATTAGTTTACTGTTAAAATATGTTTACTAATTCTTCTGAAAAGAGTGAAATATATTACAAAGTGAAGAGTTGTGGCAGGAGCAGTTTATCAGAGAACAAAAAAATCATTATTTGGTCAATTCTGTGCTTATTTCTCAAAAAATACATAACAATTTCTAAATGCTTGCCTTACAACATGGAGCACTATCTATTGTAGCTAAATACAGACACAGCTTTTACCACTGCAGTGTTTAGCAAACACTCACCTGTCATCTTTATACGATTAAAATGTTTCTATTCAAAGTGTGGTTATTTTTATCTATTATTAAGCTTTTGTAAGAAAATCTGCTTTTTTTAAGATGAAAAAGTTTGAGCACTTTTCTCAAACTTTCCATTTAAGGTAAAAATGTCAAAAGGAACAATAAGAGCACTCAAGTGAGCTTGTATGAAACCCAGCACCCTGCAGAGAACACTTTCTTTCTGTGCTCTTTAAAAGGAGCAGAACACTTTGGCTTCACGGTGAAATGTTCCATCTTTAAATCTGCCACTGAAGACATATCTAACAATGACCTCTTGATCAAAAATGTTTCATTACATATTTGTGTAACCGTTTCTCTCAAAAGAGTTAAAAGTGCTAATATTTATTTTAAGCTATTTCTAAACTCTGTCGAGAGTTAAAAGATTCTGGTAAATCTGCTGAGCATCAAAGCCAACGATGAGTGGTTTCTGCAGATAATATGAACTTGTTCAAGCTTCCCCCGACTGCACGAAACCATTGTGGAAAAGAAAATCACATCCAGGTCCCCGAGACCTTCTTGAACCCGAATCTACTGATGCATCATGGGGATTTCTGCTACAACAGTCAAGCAGTGGAGCAGACTCTGTAATTTGATCAGGTTTTTCTCGTGGTCTACAGTGAAAGGACAGGGGTCAGTCTGGTGGTATGCCAGATAATGACCTTTTGTATTTCTCGTCTGTAAAGCACATCCAGCTTCCAAATGCTCCTGAAGTTTCAAACACCCGAATTTCTCATGTTCCTGCTCGGCCTAAATCTAAACTAATGAGGCAGATTTGAATAAGTCACTGTGTGAAATGTGGAAAATGCGTTGCTCAAAAAATGTTTTAATTCACGTCATAATTATGAATAACTAACATCAATAATTAACAAAGTGGTTTCAACAAGAATTTCCTGGGTGAAGAGTTTTTAAAATACCCATTTACCAGAATTTACTTGCTTCTTTCTGAACGAATCACTTAAATCAGGAAAATCAAACTCTGGGTTCTGCAAAGTTTAGTTCCAGCCGTGCTCCACTCAACAGCTTACAAACAAGCCTGAAAGACTGAACCCTGATCAGCTGTTAGTTGTGTCCAGCTAAATTGCGCAGGGGGGTTAAACAAACGATTCAGCAGCTCATAGGAACTAAAGCCAAAGCTACAAGCGCACGTGTATCTTTTAGACGTTGATTGAAGGACTATTTTTTATGAACAGCTAATTTATTTATTTTTTTTTGTATGGATTTTTTCATACGTGTTTATTTATTATTGTGTTTTTTACTTAAAATATGAAGTATTTTATTATTTTGGTCCTTCAAACACGTTTGCCTATGTATGACTTTCTTCTGCTTACGAAAACAACAGCATTTTTAATTATTTTTGCACAGTCAAATAAAAATACAATACTTATCCATCATGCAACATCATCAGGGAGGCATATATTGAGGCCTCAAGTTTATTTGGCAGCAGCACAATAATCCTAAACACACAGCTAAAAGTTTTGGTGAACTTTTACACACACAGTTTGAAGGTGAGATGTAGCACTTTTTTTGCTTTAAAGAACCTTTTTAGCTGTTTTTGGTTCTTCACTGGTGGTTTTAAAGGTTCTTTTATAGAAACTGCCTTTTTGGTACTCGTAGTTATAAAGTAGTTATTATGTTGGTCATATACATCATGCCAAAGTTTATTTCTTTCATAGATTTGATGGTTTGTTCTAAATATCACTTTTGAATGTTCGAGCTAAACAGAACTGTTGATGGTTGGTTCTACATAGCACCTTTGTAGATAAAGTTTCCCTATGATAACAAGCCAAAAAACAAGATTTGGTTCCGTATAAAACCTTTTTCGATTGTAAAAAAGAACAAAAAACACTGAAGGTAATGGCACAGCCTCTTTTTTTTCATTCCAATTCACATCATTTTGCCTAAAACTTTTTCACATTATTGTAAATCCACCAGCATTTCTGTGACTGGATTATTTCTTTTGTTAATATTCATGCCCCTATTCCATTACAGCAACTTAAATGTGCGTCTGGTTCCCCTAATGCAATCACATAAATAGTATTGAAGTATAATATGTGTAAAATACATTTTCTTTGATGCTTTTTTTAAAGGTTAAAATAGAAAGCAAATAATAAAAGAAACCAATAAAAGAAATCGAACCCTGTTCTCCAGAGGTGCATCCCTGAAAAGCAATCACTGGAACACAAGCATCAAGAGACACAAGTTTATGGTTTTAATTCACTGTAAATACATGTGCGCTTCTAAATAGCATAAAAAGGGTTTTTAAGTATGCAAGTGCCCTTGAGAATGGCTTTTAGTTGTATTTGAGTCTCTATTTTCCAAATTGTGACTGTAAGATTATTCAACCAGCCAGGAACAGTGAATGAGAAAGTTCTGGTGAGAAATTTGTAACCACTAGATGCGTATCTCAGGTTTTAGAAACAGTGGCTCTAACCCTTTTTTATTACTTGATAAATAGCACTTAAGTTTTCCATAAAAAATAAACACATCACTAGTAACCACTTATTGAGGAAAGCTAAATTTCCAGTAGGAACTTAATTGGATCATTAACTTCTCCCAGTGTTTTTATCGAGATTTGATTGACGAAACTAAAGACTATGTTTCATAACCATGTGCTCTCTGGGTCAGCAGCAACACAAACAGAACTGAATGTTCTTGAATTTTCAAAGGTTTAATCTGCGAATCATTTATGAGGCGAAGATGAGTGGGTGTATGAATCAATATTAATCAAGCAGATAAAATCTGAATTTCTTGGGGTGAATAAATCAGATCTCATATTTGTGGTATAAAAACGCATGCCAGAAACAACAGCAAGAAGGAAGCAAGAATGCAGAAGGGAATGTTCAGAGCATGATCCTAACCCCACCAAAAGAGAAACACACACACATGCAGAAAAATGGAATGGAATGGTACTTACAGGATGGGCCCACTAGAATGGAGGTGAGGATGGAGAGAGACAAAAAAATGGATAAAAAATGAGATGAGAGCCTGGAAAGTAGGACTTTAAAACATAAAAGACAAAAATGCTCAGATTGGTAGTGAAACACATACAGAATGAAATGATGGCAAGTGCTGAGAGGATGAAGAGATGAAGAGGCGGCAAACTCTAGACGCCCACGTCACACCTCAAACTAGTGCTTTCACAAACATTGTACATTATAAAAATACTTTATGCATTGAGATTAAATAACTTCATAGTTATGCATAAAGGTGTTCATACCCTGGAAAAAATTTTTAATTTCTTTTCGGAAAACATGAAAAATAGCTACTTTTTAACTAATGTTGATTGGGTGAAGTCATTTATTGTCAAACAACTGTGTTTACTCTTTTTAAATCATAACAACAGAGCATTTCCTAAAAATTCAGATCAAAAGTTCACACACCCCAGCTCTTAAGATTTTATTTTCCCCCTTTTAACATCAATGACAGCCTGAAGTCTCTTGAGGTAGTTGTCGCTGAGGTTCTTTATCTTCTCTGTTGGTAAAGCAGCACATTTCTCCTGGAAAAAAATCCTCCGGCTCTTGTAAATTCTTGCATGTGCTGCACAATTGAGTTCCCCCTAGAGTGGTTCAAAGATTTTGAGGTCAGGAGACTGAGATGACCACTCCACTTTGTTCTGGTGTCACCAATGACAAGTGGACTCGGCCTTTGGATCGTTGTCGTGTTGTAAATGTCCAGTAACATCCCTTCTGCAGTTTCCGCTCTAATAAAATTTTCCTTTGCCTTTAGAGCTCACACATCCCCAAAACGTCAGTAGCCCACCTCCATGTTTCATAGTGTGGATGGTGTTCCGTTCATGTTGACTCCTTTCCAAATGTAGTGTTTATGATTCCGGCCCAAATGTTCAATTTCAGTCTCATCGCTTCATATAACTTTGTTCAACAAGTTTGGAGCTTTTTGGCATATTTTAAATGGGCTACTTTGTGGCATTTGCGTAGTAGTTGCTTTCTTCTGGCCCCTTGTGGGTTTCAACAGAATCCCTCACTTTCTGCTTCCTAATCAGAGTTTGATCACTGCTGATGGGCATTCCCAGTTCCTTGGAGATCTTTTTATATCTCTTAACGGTTTTGTCGTTTAACTACCTTTTCCCGTATACCCTCTGACAGCTTTCTTTTTTGCTCAGAATTCAGAAATGTCAGCACATCACTGGATGAAAGAGGCAAGGGTCTATCAGGAGCCAGAAACTCAGAAACCTTTAATGCACCAACATTGATTCCAAGAAAACAGACCACATGGGAGGATGGTTACCTTTCCCAGCCGCTCAAACCCTTTTCTATCGGTTTTTGTGCATGTTATAAGAACAAAATAACCAGGGTGTATAAACTTTTGATCAGGGTCGTTTGGAAAGTTGCTGGTTTCACCCGACCACTCACTATGAGTGGAAAAGATACTTTTGGCCAAGAAATTGAGAAAATTTGCCAGAGTATGTAAACCTAAGAGCACGATTGTACAGCTATTGTATAAGTTACACCTATAAACTTAAAGCTTTGTCAATTAAACAGGATTTAAAGCATCTCGAGCTTCCGTCTGTCATACAGAAAAGCCAACAGTGTTTCAAAAGTCCTCCAATATAAACACAAAGCTGCTTTCATTCACACACCGAATCATT